ATTCTACTGTGTAAATTTCTATCATTTCTATCATTTGATTATATGTATAATCTAAGCCCCCCAGTGGAGAGTTCAAGTTCAGCAAAATCCATGTCTGTCAACAAGCAAGTGTTCAATCCACTGTCTGAATCATCGTGCTCAGTAAGCTCCTATGTGACAAAGAAGCAATATTGCTTGATCTTAGTAAATACCAGATAATCAGTGTCTATCTGCTGCCGATATTCTTCAATCAACTGGCCACAAGATGACAAGAGCGGCACTGTGCAAAGATTCTAGCAAGGGTTTTGTTGGAGACAAAAATGTTCATTACCGTAACCTCCAGCCCTGCAGTGTGCAGACCCACTGAAAATTTGGCCTCACTCTGAGAGACCTCTTTGTCAAAGGATCTGTGGCCAGGAAGTCAATTCTCCTGTTACCATGACGGAAAATAGAGACAGAAGAGGAAAAGGAAGACCAGCAGCAAATATATGGAAAGAGATCCTTACACAGTGTGTGTGTGTGTCTCTGTGTGTGTGTGTGTGTGTGTGTGTGTGTGTGTGTGTGTGTGTGTGTGTGTGTGTGTGTGTGTGTGTGGTTTTGGAGAGGGTATGAGGCTAAATAGTGATGACGTTCCATCTGTGCACTGTCCTGACCTTATTAGGACGTGTTAACTGTTCAGTTGGAAAGGATTCTGTGTTTGTGTGTGTGTGTGTGTGTGTGTGTGTGTGTGTGTGTGTGTGTGTGTGTGAGACAGAGTACGAGAGGAGAGGAAAGAATGGAGGGAGAGCGGGAGGTACTAGGAAGTATAATGTGTCTTCTTAAACAAACACACAGACACGTCCGGACACACACATACACACACACACACACACACAGATTTGAGTCAAGTTCTCTTCAAGTCATTGCCAATTATATCCTTGTTATGGATCACTGTGTCACCTCACACACACACACACACACACACACACACACACACACACACACACACACACACACACACACAACTCATCAACTAAACTCTCATAAAGTCAATTAGTACTCCCCCACACCCTCCTCCCTCCAGCCGTCCGCCCACCAGTGTATCCAGGCAGAGGACATTCAAGATGACACACAGCAGACACCGCGCACAGAAAGGTATAGACACAAAACGATTCCTGTCACACACTGCGTGGCTCCGCTCAGCGTGGCACCTACTACACAAACACTGGCGCTGGCTGTCGGCCTGATATGCCAGCTTGAAATAAGACGGGAAGGTGGTGAAGCGGCGAGAGTCGATAAACATGTTCAAATATTCCTCAACGAAAGCGATGAAGGAGTCACAGCTCGGTTTACAGCCGAGTGAGTCACTGGATCAAAATGTCAACTTTGAACTTTTAAAGTCAAACTTCATCATACTCAAAATCTGCTGTATATTCAGTAACATTTCGTACTTTCATACATTCACCCTGATTTGGTTTTAATATTTTATAACAGTTTCACTGGATTGTTTGGGGGTTTGTATTGTGATACACTATTATTCCATTTTAGTTATAATATTCATTTTGACTTTCTGTGTATAATGTTATGTTTATCTATTTTGTCTGGTTTACTTGTGTTGGACGCAAATCAGCGGCTGTGCTCGCTCCTGCAACATGTCTTATCTCCCATAAATAAACAATCAAACAAACACAGAAGGGTAAAAACACAATACAAACACAGTAATGTTTTTCTGATCCACGTGTGAACTGGATGGATTGAGGAATCTTTTCACGGTTTTCTGAACAATATGATTTCATACTTTTAATATAATAATATTTCTTTGAATAGCATTTACTTTGAGTATCTATTTGCATTTAACTTCTCACCCCTGCTACTTACTGTCTTCTTATTAAAATAAAGGAAAACATGCCCATTGTAAGGATGTAGTCTACAAACAAATAAACCTAATTTCACGTATCAAAAATTCAACCTGTGTGTTGGGTGTGTATTTAACAAGAATTTGGCCTAAAAACAGTAGAAGATGCTGTCGTACTGGACATGAAGGAGAATTTTGCAAAGACAGAAATCCAGTAGCAAGAGGTGTGACGAACATCTCAGACATCCAAGTCAGACTTATTGATTTTGTGTCTTTTTCACACATAGGAACGATGTTAGATCTTTCTAATGGAGAAATATCGATTACGCTTCAATCATTTTCATCCAGTAACCGAAAGCTACTGGTGTGCATCAGTGTGTGTCGTTCATTGAAAGGAATGGATTGGGCTGTTGGACAAAAACATTCAGTGATATTGTATTGTCCCTGGAGATAATGCGGTTGTGGGTTGAAATTTCCCCGGGCTCACTGATTTGTATTCTACAAACAGACGGACTGGAAGCAAAGGGGAAATATGAAAGCCTCTGGCAAACAATGATTAAAGGTGTGTGTGTGTGTGTGTGTGTGTGTGTGTGTGTGTGTGTGTGAAGAAAGGCTGGGCAGGTAGTGAAACAGAATCACTGTGCACGGATGCTGTGTGTGCGTCTGAATCCGTTCAGCTGTTGTTACTGTTTGCACGTTCACAAATCTGTATGAAAATCAATCAAAAGATCGCAGTGGCTTTCACATTGGCCTGCCAATAGAGATAGATTCTTCCCTTTGTACAACAGACAAACCACCCACTTTGTGTTGCCACTTCCTATTACATCAGTTAACCACTGAAGACCAAGACAAAAAGACAATAAAAACAGGAGAGGTGTCAAGGGAACCCAGTGGTCCAGGATGCACAATCCACTACATCATTACAGCGTCTCTGATCCAGGTCTGGCTGCAAACCCCACAGAGGCTTGAGAAGAACTACAGAGCTTCACTTGTTAAAATCACACAGCTGACAAGTTAGGTGGGCAGCAGCAATAAGAAACCGTGATGAATCGTAGCTCAGTTAATCACATTATCTTGTGACGTTTTGACAAGATTTTTTTTTTGTATATCTGCATAACAGTGTCTGATAAAAACATGAACTGATTCAATTTATGTTTCTAACTTAGAGCTCTAACATGTTGCATATAGAGGTGGAGGAAAGAGAAGAGGAAGATGTTTTTACCTCAGCTGTCTGTCAACAGATGTATGATGATGATAATTATGATTACAGTATATTAGATCTGTAGTTCAAACTGCAGGTGTGTATGATAGGGTTGGGTGACTTGCTCCAAAATCATTCTGTTGGGCTGAATCTTAATGAGCAGTAACGACACAGGATGAATCATCATAACAACTTCTACAATTTACAAGAAGAGAAAACAGTATGGGCTCCACAAAAATGTCTTTTTGACATGAACGACAAACTTTGAAGGAACAACAGACCAGGAAGAGACAGAGACAAAATGAAAGAGACTTCTTAATTTTATGGGACTTCTGAGTTTAAATATGTTTTAGCTTTAGTGGCTGATGAAATGGCAATCACAGAGAGTTTAATTTACCATGACGAGTAAAACACACACACACACACACACACACACACAGTGCAGACATCTCATCTGAATGAGATACACTCTTCGAAATGTTGCTCGGAGGTAATAAAGTGTACTAAAATGTGATATAATGAGAGTAATAAGGTGTAAATAAAGAGGAGAAGGTAATTCAGCCTGACGACACAGTGACTTAGGGAAAATCACTTTGTGCAACACTGGAGAGAGAGACGAAGAAATCACTTGACCGTGAATCATTGTGATTATTATTCTAAAAACTCAGTCCTCTCATCCTGTTGGACGGCTGCCCCATGTTATTGCAGGTCAGTCGTCCAATCAGAAATACGACTCAGGTACATGGACAGAGAGACAATGGAGAGACGGATGATGAAGAAACAGTACAGATGAAGAACTTTTAGTTCCAGGTGCTTTTCTTCAGGAACTAAAAGGTTCCTGTGGCCCATTGTTGTCTGTGTTTCCACCCCGGCCTAAAGTCCTGGGAAGATTATACGAAAATTATTACTTGGCATTACATTATTCACAGCGCTTTGAGGACATAACATGAACGAAAATACGGGACAAATTGGCAACCCGAGCCACTCCAGTTGTTGTGGTTCTTTATTATTTTTTTGAAGTCCTGTTTCAGTTTTTTTCACCTTCTCCCGGACCTGTTTCGCGGTGTGGAAAATGTCTTTGCTGGCTCACTGTGAACTTTTAAACATAGCGGGTAAAATAAAATACAGAAAGTGCTCGACCAGTCAGAGATGTTCAGCACTGCAGACCACACCCCCCAATGTTCCTGAACCTTTGGAAAGTACTACCCCCCGACCAGGGACTTTTTTGGGGGTTGATCAATTACCCCGGAACTAAATTTAGACCCTGGTTCCTGCAGTGGAAACGCGCATAGTTCCTCAAAAGGTTCCTGGTTCCTGGGGAAAGTTCACGCAGTGGAAACCCAGCTTAAGGGACTGATTTAGGGAAGATGAATGCAAATACAGTGAGAGGCCGTTAAGTCAAAGATTTTAAATGAAAGAAAACAGATGGATGATGTAAGGAAAAAGAGCAAAACAGGAGAAGCAGAGATAGAAAGAAGATATTGTGAGAAAGAAAAAACAAACAGAAGGGAGCAAAGATAGAAATACAAATACAAATGCTATAAACATGGAGGTAATAGCTTCTTTGTCACTGGCAACAAGTCCCTGTCCTCTCGTTACATGCTGCTACATTACATGAAGCCCTGAGGGAAGATACACACACACACACACACACATCTGCTCACTGAGTACTCTGACACAGTGACCATCAAAAACACACATACATGTATTAGATGCATTCAGAAAGTGTTTGGTTTCCTGGCAATGGACAACCGCAGTGAGATGTTTAGTATTCAGAGAGAAGTGAAGGAAACCAGAGGACAGAGTGAGCTGGCTTCAGTAACACAGCAGCGTCTTCGTGACTCCCTCACTGAGAGTCTTGTTGGGTTTGTGTGTGTGTGTGTGTGTGTGTGTGTGTGTGTGTGTGTGTGTGTATCTGTCACCATGAAACATTTGTTCATGCATAAATATTCCTACACAAATGCACAAAGGTACCAGTGTACTTACCAAAACCAAAGTCATGGGGTCGTGGGGGTTCAGCTGCCCTGAAACAATAGAAATGTGATCAGTTAACACCCTGAACACAGAGAATTGATAGTTGACACATTTAGCAAACAAAAAATAAGTTAATCATTTATTTTTCATTTTATCCATGAAAATATAAACATTAACAAATCTACAATGCAACTAAACGAAAGTGCAATGTCACGTCTCAAATTGAGTACTTTGTGACATTTTCAGTACAACACACACACACACACACTTACACACTGCAACTCTGTATGCACACATACTACACACATGTACAATGTTTGCTGAGAGATCAATCTGCCACAGTGCAGAGTCTTTTCAATACCAAACCAATGTCTCTTCAGCCTTAATGTCCTGAGACACTCAGCCCAAACCAAACTGCCTCAGATCAATAAAGAACCTGTTAGGGGCGTCGAGTGGCGCAGTGGTCTAAGCAGGCGCCCCATGTGTAGAGGCTACAGTCCTCGCTGCAGTCGGCCCCGGTTCGTCCCGTATGTCATTCCCCCTCTCTCTGCCTCCCCATTTCCTGTCTCTCTATACTATCCTGTCCAATAAAGGCACAAAAGCCCCAAAAAAAAAATACTTAAAAAAAAATAAAGAACCTGTTTGTTTCTACTGTTTGGATGAAATGAGCTAGGATTAGGAGAATCAGTGGTCGATGTTTCTGTTGAACACAGAGAAATCCGGAGGTTTGTCTTGAGTATTCAGTGTGTGTGTGTGTGTGTGTGTGTGTGTGTGTGTGTGTGCGCTTCAGTGCCGATCACTCAGCACACACCAGGTTACACAGTTAAAGTTCAGTGGCTTTTCTTTCAAATCCTTTAAAACTTCAGAGCTCAATTTATTCTAGCAGTCATTGTTGTGTGTTCCTCACTCTGCCAAAATGCCTCTGTGAATAAAACACTACAGGAGAAGAATAAATTAAAGACAGAGAATCTAGTCTGAGAAAGCTTGGGAATTTGAACCTCTCTACGGGCTGAGGGGGCTGATGAGGTGACAGCTCGTTAAGCCACCTAATTTACCGACCTATCTGCCCGACTGTCTCTCCGTCTGATTCACTGACGCCTGTCCAACTTTCCTCTTATGGAGACGTGCCTGAGATAGTGATGAAGACTCCTCTCTTGAGAGAACAAGACCGCATAGATTGGATAATTGATTGGTGCGTACAAAAGAAAGAGAAAAGAAAGTGCATGTATGAGTGAGAGAGAGACACAAAGGACAAAAGAGGACAATGACAGAGAAAGAAGGAGGAGATGAGAAAGTGTAGAAAATATAATGAGAGAGGAGTATGTTCCTATACAATGTATTTCAAGCTCTAAAAGATGCATTCAAGTCTATACTCTCCTGTCAGGTCACAGATTTCAACAGAGGGCAGCTGCAGCCTTCAGCTTTGAACATTTCATTAGAGGCTTGGCAGATGGCATGACATGAGCAATAGAAACATTAGATGTCCAGATGTCCAGGTCAGGTCTGAGTTCTTTAATACTGGGTATCTGCTGATTCTGATACTTTTATTTACTTAAATGTTGATTAAATATGTATATGACACATTGAAATAAAGCACATCTCATTTTTTACAAGCTTCTTGATCCAAGTATTGAAGATCTTGGTTCAGAAGGATTAAAGGTCCCATATAGTCTAAAGGTAGATGCCCATGTGTTGTTTGATTATAGATCAGGTCTAGGTTCTAAATTAATACTGTGAAAGTATCAAAGAGCTCAGTCCACAGAGAAATACACACAGCCTGTATTCAGAGACTGAGCCTTAAAACCAGCTGTCAGGACTTCTGTAACTTTGTGATGTCACAACAAAGCAGTCACCGCCTACAGTCAAGGCCCAACCTTGCAGGATTTGGTTTCTCTGAGTGTTTAACTGTGTTTTACCTATCTGCCATATTTTTTATTTGATTACTCAGTAAACATTCAGCCAATCAGAAGAGAGGCTCAGAGCCTCCTCTCTTCTGATTGGCTAACCAACCTGTTGTTACCAGAGCTCCAGAGAGAAGCCTGACAGAGGAGATGTAAAACTACAGTGAGATGATTTTTGGTTCTTAAAACCACAAATATATATTCTTCAACACTTCAAATAAAACCTTAGGGACCTTTAAGTTTATTATCTTAGATTATTGATAGGATATGAATCAAAGTTTAACTAGGAGAATATGGCTCCTGAAATTGATGAGACGATCTGCTAGAGAGAATATGTCGATTTCTCACTCTCTCACTCTGTTGGAATTGTCTGAACTATAGAAACACTCTGATTGTACAGTGGAGAGCGAAGCTTCGTCCCTCAAAATTGCTCTTTGGACTCTTTGAGCACAGACTCCAGTTTGCTGAGAGCACTTAGCCAGACACCAGACAAATTAAATTTTGGTCAGCCATCAATTTACCCAGGGAATTAACAATAATTAGCAACAGCTGATATGATCTGCTGCCCACAATGTCTGACATTTCAACCGGTGAAAGCAACAGTCAGTGCCAGCAGAGAGGAAAAGCTGCTAAATTAATGTTTGTGATCTTTGCTAATGATAAACTGTGCTGTAGTTTAGTGAATCTGAGCTCCTAAGTTCTCCAAAATCATTTTTGTGCCCAAATAATTTTTCAAACACACTCTAACTTGCTCTCACATATGGAGTGAAATGCTGCGCTGTGGTAAAGGAGAATCAGGCAGCAATGCTAACAGGCTGAGGTGGAAAAAAAACACAGTAGAGTTCGGAAGAGAAAGGTTTTGATCTGCTTAATTCTAACCGATACAGTTTGAAGGCGGGGCCCACTGTCTCCTGGATTCCACTGGCTCCAAAGAATACTGACATCAATCATTGGTTGAGAGGGGCACCAAAGGACAAAAGCAATGAAAATGGGATATAAATGTTACAGATGACAATATTTCAGGCCCTTTAGGCATCATTCACACAGGATTATGACTAATTTAGCAATTGTAAGTGTACAAGCTCTTCACAACATTTAAAATATTCCTTAGATGGTTTTGCATCCTTGTTACCACCAAATGCAACAGTAGCAATAATTAACAACACCAACACCAACAGGAAGTGTTTTCAGTTGAATGGCCAATACGTCCTCCAACCTAAACAACCATAGAGGTCGTTTGTCCTTACCCTCGTATACAAGGTAAGGGAGCGTATCACATACACCGGACCTTCATCGTCATGGTTACAATAATAAATGCTCAGACTGGGTCGAGGTTGTGGAATGGTCATGCACAGGAAACAAGTTTTGTTTGTCGACCCATTCATTCACCCCAACCTCCTTTTAACACGGACTTCGTGGCTCGTTCTACCAGGTCACTTCCTCTTCTGCTCCCGTCATGATTACTACAGCCACTAGAGGTCACCTAACCTAAAAACACAACTACGGGTCATTATAAGCTGCTTGAACAGGTGACCTGTGGTTTTTACATGAGGACAGTCTCCACAATCTGGCTGCTTGGTGTGTTTGTGCACCAGACTCATCATGTTCATCTGACCAGAGTCATGCTATTGGCTAACTGCTATCATGTGTTACATCTTTGGTTTTCTTGGATTGTATTAATTAGCTTTCCCTCATTGTTACCGCTGCTTCATGCAACCTTCTGCTAAGCAAGAAAAACATAATTAAGAAGTTTAGATTCTGCCCACTCCCACGACATGTTGGTGGTGATATTAGAGACCTAATTAATTATCACATCACCAACTGGAAGCAACACATTTACATTTATTCTTGTAAGAATAAGATATGATTATGGAGCAAAGAAAAGTAAAAAAAAAAAGCAACATTTATTTTCTGAACTCTGTTTCACAGAGTAAGATAAATCTTTTGGACTCTGAAGGAAAAACTGAGTGTAAAGTTTGAGTTTTACTGTGTTTTAACCTTGTAAAGGGCCTTGCAACATGAACAATATAAAAGAAGAAGAATAAAATCAGCTATTAATTCAAAATGATGTATGTAAGCGATAACACATCCAGGTGTCCTGACTCTTATTTGCTCTCCTTATTTCCTCTCCAGAGCCAAAAATAGAGGATGTGCTTCATCATCAATATTTTAAGGTTTGTGGTCAGTTTAACCCATGTTTAGGTTAGAGAATTAACTATTGACACATCAAAAAGCAAAACTTCTTTACGGTACTAATCAACATATATATATAATCAACACCTGTCAGCCGATCAGAGACTGGTCATGATATGAGCAGATTTGGAATATGAGACAAACTATGGCAAGAGAGAGAGGACAACAGGCAAGAAAGACAAACAGAGAAACAGAAGAGAGTCTGCAATACATCATCACAGTGACATCAGAGCCACGGGCAGTTTATTGTGATGTAATGATGATGTATTAGGGAGAGTCTGTTTCTGCAGTGTGTGTGTGACTGACAGACTGACTGACTGACAGAGGACAGAGGAATAACAGTAAAAGAGATCATGAAAAAGAGAGTGGTCAACAAGGAGAGAAAGTAAGTACATTTGATGTTTCTTCCTTGTCTTGTTACTATGCTACTTTTCACAGGTCACACACACACACACACACACACACACACACACACACACACACACACACGGTGATACCTTCACTAACAGAGATGAAGGTCCACAGAACAGGTTGAACATTTAACCCTCAATGATTTCCTCTTCTCCACCCTGCTGCTCTCCAACCTGTTCACCCAACAGATCTGTTCTCACCCAGAGATACAACATAGTGGAAAAGCTCAAGGACAGAGGAGTCTTTGAAGAATTTATTATTGCGAGGGATGCCCCGATTGATCGGCCACCGATAATTATCGGCAATATCGGTAGATCGGCATAAATTCTCCTAGCCACCGATCACCTTAAAACTGATCACCTGTGGCCAATACTCTGGGAGAAGCTCTGTGCGCTGTGTAGTGTAGTCCCACCTCCCTCCTTGTTCAATGTGCCGGCACGCAAACAGACCACCAAATCAAAACATGTCGACCATGTGGAACTTTGACAAAGTGTGCGGGACTGATACAACATACACCATCTGCAATGCATGACAAAAATGATCGG